GGAGTGAACCCGGGCGCTCGATAGGAAGCAGCATGCTCATAGTAACCCTCAATGGTGAGGGGAGCGATACTTCCAAGTGTGTCAAAAATAGAGACACACTGGTTGAGTGGAGCCCAAGGTACCGGGGTCTAACCAACTCAGAGAAAGGGAACGAAGCTATAACGCGTAACCCTTACCATACAGGATTTCAGAAAGTGCACAGAGCTTAGCGTGTGCTCATCACATGCCTCAGCAAGAGGGTATATCCTGGAGCCCGGACATCCAGGAATTTTTTGCAGTGTCGTGCCGGGGGCCTGATGATCAAGAAGGCTCCCGCAGAAGCCTCTGACCTGGCCGCATGGTCCAGGAAGCATGAAGCCGGAACCGAAAATATAAAAACTATTTAGACATAAATAAACTCACAATTTATAACATATAATAATAAAAACTCAAATATCAATATTTCTATGTAACATTTCTAATATTGTATTCATATTAAAATATTATTAAAAACTATAAAAGTATCTCAATGACACTAAAATACCACTGAGACTTACATGCATCTGCAATGATTGAACTAACCTGTGGAGCCTCATACGGAGCGAGAGCACTCTGTCGGCCCGTCACAGGATCATCCACATACTGACACAGATTACTGCCCTCCACCCGAATCAAGTGACTGGCAGGAGCTGTCTGACCTGCACAGAGTCAGCAGGACAAGAAAGATTCTGAATTAGAAGTGGAAGGACAACAGGAATGTTTCCTTTTGTGGCACATATGAACGTGACTAAGTGTGGATGAGTGAGTTAGCTTTATTTTCCATTCAAAGCGATGTAGCTATAGAATAATAACAGATGCATTGGAGAAACAAGACCATCTCAATGTCTCGCTTCAGAAAACAAAAACATCTTTCTTTACATTTTTACTTTTAAGGCAGTAAAACACATTATTTAGTCAATTTAATATGAGTGAATGAGCTGAGGAAGTCTGAAGTGCTTAATGGTTTGGATTTTCTGTCATTGTCTTGGATCTTGGCAGGTTTTTAGTTGAATTAGCTATATTTGAAGGTGGTTAGCTATATTTTGGGTAACACTTTATTTTAAAGGGGTCATAGGGTGCCCATTTTCCACAAGTTGATATGATTCTTTAGGGTCTTAATGAAAAGTCTGTAACATAGTTTGGTTAAAATTTCTCAATGGTAGTGTAAAAAACACCTTTTTTACCCTGTCAAAAACAGCTCTTTTCAGAGCACGCCGTTTTTGTAGCATTTTCCTTTAAATGTTAATGAGCTCTGCTTACCCGTCCCTCTCTTCCGAGCTACTCTCAGAGAGACTGTTTATTTTAGCCGCATTCATCGTGAAACTTGCTAATTAGCACATTATTAGGAAAGGCGATTTGCAAAGATTCATTATAAAACATTATACTCACTTCTTCTGTAGATGAGGCTGGATCATGAATGATTCGCGCGAACATAGACGCATTTATGTAGATCGGGGGTGCATTCCCTTCAGAAACAAACGTAATCCACTGCGTCTTCAGTGGCTCAGATGTCGGGAGTAAATGACGACTGCTATGTTCATTATTGCATCCAACAACAGAACACCTCAATCGATTCTTGTCTACATCTGCTCCGGCGGTGAAACAATGGCGATGACAGCTCACTCAGGGGCGGAGCTAAGGTAAGACACCAGTCCAGTCTGTGCTGAAACGCTACTGTCAATCAAACTATCGTGGGAGGGGCCTGTCTGTAGTGACGTCACACAGACAGGCATCTGAGATCGGCTCGATTTAAGAAAGGGGAAAACATTTAACCAGATTAAAAAAAAAACAACGGGTGGATTTTTATCATTATAGGGTGGTTGTGTACACACACTGCCAACAAACATTTCAGTTCAAACAACTTGTAAAAGTGCATGAAGCATCCTATGACCCCTTTAAGGAAATCTAATATCAATTTGGTTTAATAATAGAAACAGCATGAACTATTTTGTATGTTGGGGTAAGATATGGTAAATAAAAATATTTGTATTTATTAATTATTATTATTATTATTAATACTACTAGTAAAACCCTTTCTAAAACCATTATTTTAGCCATTTTTTTTCTTTTTCATTCTAAGGGTATTCCTAAAGACTCAATCCTCTACTGTAAATAATTATACCGACATTTGTGCATTGAGTGTTTGATTGTGGGCGGTGTGTACAGCTTTACTGTGTACTAGTTAGTGTATAGTATAATTTTGCTAAGCGAGTGGCTAACCCTATAGAGTTTCTTGAGGTGTTAAAAGATCATTGTGTTTGAACTGTGCTCTCTCTAGCCCATGACCTCTATTTCCTCTGCCCAAGGCTGATCTGTGGGCAGCCTGCCCTGTGAACAGTCCCTGGTCCCTCTAGATCGATATTCATCTGCCTACCATGAGCTATGCTTGACCTGTAAGTGACCTTACCGTGTGTTGAAGTTGGATCCATTACATGGATGGTGCAAAACAGTCTTTGTTGGCTGAGGTCAGTTTACAAATACGTGTTTGTGTGGGTAAAAGTGCACTAATTCTGACTGGTGGAGTATGATTGCCTACAGAGCTCTGCATGTTATGGTGCTAAGCCAAAAAATGGTTGGAAACCAATGCTTTTTTCTGGCATTTCAGGGACATTTGACAGAACCAAGCACCAATGATGTGAGCGGATGAGTGTTTTGTCATGTTTGCGTGTTTGCAGTAGGCCTCTAGTGTGGTGTGGTGTTTCCTGCTACAGGCTCGTGGTGCGAGCTGCTGTCGCTGCTAATTGAAGCCCGTAGGTGAAATAAGGATGGAGAGATGCAGTTGAAGGAAAGAAAAGAGGGGTGGGGGGAAGCTTGGGTGAGCCTGTGGTGCCCCTGGGGGTTTGGTCCCTGCAAGCCTGCTTCCCTTGGTCTAAATATCTGGCTTGACGCTCTGGGGCTTCCCAGGGGTAAGATTTAACCAGATAAAAAAAAAAAACTGGGGGGATTTTTATCATTATAGGGGGGTTGTGTACACACACTGCCAACACACATTTCAGTTCAAACAACTTGTAAAAGTGAATGTAGCATTATATGACCCCTTTAAGGTTTGTGTATAATTTGAAACTAATTGTGTCGTGCCTGCGATCTGTTTTATAATAACTTCCAAATGAGTTGTCTAGGTTGATCATGATGACTATCACCTGTTTGTTAGCTAGCAAGCATACCAAGCGTTGTTTCCTGTTGAGGTTTGTTTGGGCTGCTGGATTTCTAAAGAGTTTAACTGATGTTTTAAAACTCATTTAAGTTTTTAACAAGTTATTATAAATTCTAAATGTTTTTGATAACGACAGATGCCACGTTAGATTATGACCAATCTGAACCCTGTTATAAATAGTTGCAGTTGTACTTGACTAATGCTGTAATGACCGCTCCACCATTAATTCTATTGTGTTTGTACAACATTATTTAACTCTATCAGGAGTGCTCCGCTGTTGGGTTCCCGGACCCCTCTCTCTGTGGAGAACACCTGGAGCACATCCTCCATACAGTTTAATTCATGTTTGACCCGCCACTGATGGATCATCTGTTCACCTTCAACAGGTACATTATAACGTAATATCTTAGCATTAAATTGAACAAATATTCTCCTGTGATGCATCATTTTGGTTCTGTAAATGTGTTTGATGTTGCCTGATAACCAAGTCTGATATAGATGATTGTTTGCTCCTTTCTGTTGCTGGCGTCCTTTATCAGTGTCCTATGCTGTTTTGTGAAGCTCGCGATGCTTTTTATCACTCTACTGTTCCACGCCATTGACTTACTGACGTCTTACTGCAGGCGACATGGAAATATGGAGGAGACACTCTCATGCTGAAGCAATTGCAGATTAAAGTGAGTAAAAGAATGAGAAAACTAAGCAACTGAGAAATGTCCTGTGCAACACTATTTTATTGATAAAGTTGCGGTTTGACAAAATGGCACAAGCGTATGAAAACAGTGATGACAGCTTGCATTTAAAATGTAAACCTGCAGAAATCACAAATCTCAAACTCAAGCATAATAAATGACTGGGCATGCAAGTTATCACGTTTAAAATGTAGATACATGTTCATTTGCCTTTTGTATAGAACATATATTTTAAGATTTCTATAGAGATTGTTATTTACAGTTGTGGTATGAATAAAAAAAAACAGCTCAGAAGCACCTGCAGCACAAGAATTTTACTTTTTCTAATATTCTGTCTCAAGTAATATGACACTTAGTTCTGTGTAGTATTTCTGCATTCCAGTATCCCTCTACTAATATTACAATTTATAAAAAATGAATAGATGATTTATTAATTGGTGTTTACTTGGTCATGTGCCATGGTTTTTGGACCCTCGTTATTGCCCTATTTTATTATCAAATTATCACTTTTCAAAATGTATGTAATTCCAAAGAACAAGTTTTTTTTTTTTATTGTTTTTTGTAAATGAAAATTAACAAGTAATGAGTATTTAAAAAATTTAAAAAAACTGCTTAGTATTGTAATATTTCACAGTATTACTGTTTCTGTTATATTTTTCATAAATTTTATATATTTGCAAATAAATGGAGGCTTGGTGAGCATTAGAGACTTTCAAAAACATCTCAAGATCCTAATCATGCCAAGCTTTTGACAGGTAGCGTGTAAACATGCACACACGTGTTAGCACACAGAGTGTGTTTACATCTTGTCAGTAGTTGTAGGTATGACCATTTCTGTGATTCTTACCATTCTCTGCATAAACCCTGGGTCTGATCTTCTTTGTTCCAGTCGGTCTCGGTCTGCAGTAGATACTAGAGGAAAGACACCACCCTCTTCTGTGTTTGGGGTACAACACTAGAGACTGGACCAAAGAAGTCAGAGGGGTGATCTTCATGTACATCGTCTCTAGTGTTTCCAGAATTGCTCTTTCTACAGCTGCAATACAGACGATAATTTAATATGGTATGTAGCTTTGATGAATGAAATGAAATGCATTTTGCAGCTTATGTGTGTACAGGTAAATTGATTTGGTATGGAACTCAAGACTGGATTTTCCTCTCACACCAGAAGTACCTGTAAGTATAAATTTACTGCAAGGTTTTAAATGTTAGATGTAGTGTCACATGCATCTGCATTGATGGGTGTTATCAAAAGCATGTCACATTATTTAGGGTAAAATGTTTACCATTTTAAATGATCCTGCCAATATAATACACGTTTCTGTATTATTATTTTTTTCAGTATTTTAAAGAGACACACTGGAGCTCAAAATGGAGTTGGTAACTTAAACTGATGATCATTTAAATAAAAAATTAGGTGACTTACTCTGTGTTCTTCCTTGGTGGTCCCCCGAGGGTGTCAGGACAGAAAAGGTGTGCTCTACGGATTGAACACAAAATATTATGTCATTCAGTTTTAGATTGTGTGAAGTCAAGTCAAGTCAAGTCACCTTTATTTATATAGCGCTTTTAACAATACAGATTGTGTCAAAGCAACTGAACAGCATTAATTAGGAAAATAGTGTGTCAATAATGCAAAATGACAATAGTAAACACTAATTTTCCAGTTAAAGACAGTTCATCATTGAATCAGTGATGTCTTCATTCAGCTCAGTTCAGTTTAAATAGTATATGTGCAATCAAGTCAACGATATCGCTGGAAATGAAGTGTACCCAACTAAGCAAGCCAGAGGCGACAGCGGCAAGGAACCAAAACTCCATCGATGACAGAATGGAGAAAAAACCTTGGGAGAAACCAGGCTCAGTCGGGGGGCCAGTTCTCCTCTGACCAGACAAAACCAGCAGTTGTACTTCTATCATTTAAGCGGGTAGAACACAAGTCATCAGGGCAGTTATTTGAGATTTGACTTACTAGTCATATGGAGCGTAGCGTCCTGGAGATGTTGTCCGACATGAGTTCCGCTCCGACTCTGCTGGGGTGCAGGCCATCAGCGCGAAAAAGCCTAGGACGCTCCCAGAAAAGATTCCAATTATTAACAAAGAGCAGTTTCTGTTCTTTACACCATGACAATAACCATTCATTTAAAGCAAAAAGTCTACTGAACCTTTCGTGTCCTCGTCGATACGTGGGAAGCGGTCCTGACACGATGATCGTCGTCGCGGGCGATGTGCGGCGCACCGTCTCGATCAGGCTCCTGAAGTCCCTCTTCAGTGTCTCCGTCTGCCGCAGCTTGGTGTCGTTAACCCCCGCGTGAAGCACGACCGCTCCGGTGCTCTCGTCGCCCTTCAGGATCGCGGGTATCTGCGCAGAAACATCGAGAACACGAGCACCAGGGAAACAGTGAGTGTGCACTTTACCTTCAGCTAACGTAGCACGGACGTGCCGGACGATGGAGTCTCCGATGATCACAGCGTCGCGTTCCGTCTCGCGGAGGGGAGCGAAGTGGTTCCGGGTGGAGATCTCGAAGACCGGAGGCGGCGGGGGGGGAGAGGTCGTCGCCCGGGGCCTGGCTCGCGTCTTCCGCTGCGGCTGCACCCAGGGTCCGTGGTGTCCTGGGCGCCGGAGTGAAGGACATCTGGGAAGATCGCGTCCTGGGTGCACCGGGCCTGTGCAGAGAAACACACGGAGTAGAGGTGGTTGGAGAATTAGCAGCGCGCTGTATACTTACCTCGGACTTGTGAGCGTCAGCCTGGGATGGTTCCAGCGCGGCTCTCTGCTCTCTCAGCTGGGTCTGCCTCACCAACAGGTCGCGGATCTGCTTCTCCACGGCCTCCAGCTCGAGGTGCACCGAATGCAGCTTGAACGTGTCCTCACCTGCACTCAAAGGTAGACACACATCCCCAATTAATGCAAGTAACAGTGAGTAAAACAATGGTAATGTGTGTGAATAGAGTATTTGTAATGTAAGCGAGGTTAGCGGCAACCACGCTGGCGATGCTAGCGGGCTATTTGCTAATAGCGGACTCGGGAAATCAAAATAAAACTAGTGATAACAAGGCGCTCTGATTGTTTTTGTTGTAGAATACGATAGGGGATATATTCACACGTTATATAAACGAAAATGATGGTGTATAAAATTGATTTTAAAATAGAAAATTAGACGACAAAGAATTAACTTGACGGAGCTCAAACTCAAAACACACGATAGCAACAAACAGGAAGTTCGAAAGAAGGGCTGTGAATGCCGCGGTCACACTAGATTGAGCATGCGAAGTTTCCTCTGACACTGTAATAGTATAATGATGATATAACGTCATGCTCTGCAGCGTCTTTAAAAAAAAAAAAAAATTACTATTTTAACTATTTCCTTGCTATGTTTCTGGACCTGGGAACATTACAGTTGTGTTGCTGTCTATGCAGGGTCAGAAAGCTCTCGGATTTCTTCAAAAATAACTTTTTTTTTTGTGTTCTGAAGATGAACTGAGGTCTTACAGGGTTGGAATGACATGAGGGTGAGTAATTAATGACAGAATTTTCATTTTTGGGTGAACTAACCCTTTAAATTCAACATACATCTTAAATGTAAAAACATACAATCTACTTCAATTTCCTGCAGTGCTGCAGTTTTACATTTGTTCTTTTAATTCATCTATGAGAGCATGCTGTGACGTATCGAACTGCTGTTGGCCCCACGGTTTCAAGTGATGCGAATTTGCAGGTCAGAGGTCACCAAGCTTGAACTTTGTTTGGAACGCAGCGGAATGCGAAACTTTTCACACGGGCTTGCGTTTCTGGTCTGACGCATTCGCATGCATATGAATGGAAGTCAGTGGAAGGAGTGCAGTGTGACCGCCCCTTTATTCTAATTAATGCTCTTGTACCTTGTTTTTTTTTTATTATCAAAATTGATAGAATAAGTGATTACATCATGAATCCATTTTCCAAACCCTGTTTTTGGCTTGTCCTGAATCACTACAGTACACCTGAGAGAGGTTAACACATCCATTAGCTTCAGTACAAGCTATAACTGAGAATGAAACACGACTGCCCCCTACTGGTAATGTACGTCATGTGCCAGAGAACTTTCTGCAGCAGGTCCCTGTGGAGCGCATTTTTAAAGGCCACATCTGTAATGATGGCTCATTTTGGGAGGCCCTTTGTCTCACACACCTTTCTAACACAAATCATGTCTTACAAAAGTTAAATCAATAGTTTTCTGTGAATGAGTGAACAGGATGATTTTCACATCATTTTGTAGCAAAAACTCTAGGCTACAAGATCCAGTTCTCAAAAGTCTTGTGAACAAATGCTCTGTATGTGTTTTATGGCCTTATTTCAGTGACTTAAAAATTGTAGTTTTTCACTAACCACGCATAAACGCTGTTTTCTCAATAACACAAACATGTGCATTCATGCTGCTCACATATTATTGTAGCCCAGTTTGTGCTGATTACAGTGTTATTAAACTTTAGACATTCAAATGTTTGTAAGCAACTGAAAAAAGCACAAATGTCAGGGCATGTCAAAACTTTTCCAGGGCCCCAAAACACCCTCAGACCCCAGAGGGTTAAACGGGTTGATATTATTTTTGTCTTGTTTGTTTTCTATGTATGTTTTATAATCTTGCTCTTCTGTAAAGCACTTTGGTCAGCCTGGTGGCTGTTGTAAATGTGCTATACAAATAAAATTGAAATTATGTAAATTAAGTGTAAAGTGCCTCCCCCCTTTCATGTTTTTTAATTTTTTTTTATCTTTTTGTCATCTCGATTTGTCAAGATCATCTGGAAAGTGTTCATCTATGCCATGTAATCAAGTACATTATAATATAACATTTTAACATCCTTAAGAATCATTACAAAATTTACAGTGAGTGTTAATTTCAAAACGTGGGCTACACAGGCTACAGCCTATGCATCAAAAAAAATAAAATAAATATATATATATGAAAGACATTTACACAAAGGCATGTTATGGTTATTACATAGTCATTATACATACTGCCAGTGAGTGCAGCGCCGCAAAATTATTGTCGACCATGAGGACTAGACGTGCGACCTCATTGAGCAATTGTAGAATTTTAATAGTTTTCTCGCTCTATGTATGCGTGTATGTGTATGTATATGTATATATATGTATGTTTGTGTGTGTGTGTATGTGTATGTATATATATATATAAGAGAGAGAAAAGCATTAAAATGATAAAATTTACTTGTTGTAATATTATTGTTAAAATTGTTGAAATAAGTATTAAGGAGCTTTCATTTCAATCTACAGGCTAATGAAAGTTTTTTAACGAAAAATCCTGAGCTTTGGCTGCATATCCACGAGACTCTTTTCACGTTGACTCGCACAAAAAAAAAAAAACCTTCAACAAAAGTTGTGAGAAATCAAGATTAATATAGGCTAAAAATGTGACTTGAACAATGTCTAGAAATCCTACAAAAAGTAGGTTATTAACTTGGAATGTTTCGATTACATTTAAGGATGTGTGCCTTATGCCATGAATAAATAAATAAAATGGTAGAAAAGGTGGCTTATTGTTATGTTATAGGCTAGGCCTACAGTAGTCAGTGTGGATTAGCAGAAACCGTAGACCATGTACTATTACATTGTTCTGTTTATGATAATGATTGTTCCAATGATAATGGAAATATTTCACTTTAAAACTCTGTTCAATAATGGCTTGAATCATTATAAAACGTATGAAGCATTAATGATATACTTAAAGTGCCTCTATTATGCCATTTTTAAGGTTCCTAATATTGTTTTGGCAGTCTCCTACAATAGGATTACATGCATGCAAGGTCAAAAAACGCTTTCGTTTTCTCAAAATATGCATTTAAAGTGCCCCTATTATGGGTTATGAAAAGTTCATATTTTGGTTTTGGGAGTCCCCAACAACAGGTTGACATGCATGCAAGGTCAAAAAACACTTTCATTGTCTTATACATTTATTTTTTCCTTTTTTGCTCAACGACTCCCAAACGGTTCACTCAACGATTCATTTTTCCAAACCCCTGCTTTGGGTGACGTTAAACTGCGGTGATTGTTCTGATGACCAGTCTGTTGTGATTGGTCTACTGCGTGCAGCGCATGTCAATAACAGAACGCCCATCACCATTACTTGGCCCACAGCTCGGTGGTAAACATCCAAACAGCCATGGTATCAATAGTATGTTCCTGCACAACCGGAGGCTGCCGTTTCAGGACCGCAGTTCTAGGACCCTATTCTTCTGTAACAGCGCCACCTACCGAATTGGATCACTAAAGATGGATGACATGGACAGCAATCAGAGTGAGTAACTTTACCGATTTTCAATCAAGTTTTATTTTATAACCTTAAAATGATGCAAAGTTTACGTAGCCAACGTGAGAACTGCTAAGACATAATAATTAATTCCCGATTGCTAGTTTTATTGAT